ACATGGCAACTAAAGGAACACATCGAGGCGATGAATGGTGGGATGGTAACAGGATTTTGAGTGTATGATGAGTTGCTTTTACTGTTTTTGGTTTAGTGAAAGTACAAAAGCACTTACTGGATGATTAAGCATAATTTAATCTTCACTGTGATAAAACTTATGTAATAAACATGGATTTAATAGAGAAATACTGTTGTTGGAAGTACATTTTTAATCAGATGATTCATATTTGTCTGGTTTTGCATTAACTCACTCAATGTGTGTATGTATAACTGTATATATGTATATTAAAATACATATATACTGCACTGGTCAGTATGTACACTCAAGGTCATGGTATGTATGTGAAACTCCAAACATAAATGTTTTGTGAGCATTATTCTGTTTCCTCATAGTAAAAAGCCCATACTGACAAAGATTATAGCATCGATTTTAACTGAATCCCCAGCCAGATTAAAAATGCAGTAGCCTAAGAATTTCCAACATTTATACTAAACTCTCCAATAATGTAGAGTTTGCAAGAAAGAGGGTTTTTTTTTGTTTTTTTTTTGTGAAGCATATTTTATTTGTAAATAACTTGGTTTTATTTGGCCATCTGTAGGGGAGGGCAAACCAAAAAAGAGTGATAATAATATATAAAATCAGATATTGATTTTCTAAATAACAAAGTCTTCATATATCAACACATTTCATTTATTATTGTAGTGTAGACATTCATTTAATACTGACTTTTATATCAAACCACTGCTAATGTGTTCCTTTGAACTAGTCTTTTGCACTGAGTAGGACTGACTATGTTAAATTATAAAGTTTAACAAGATATAGGGGGAGATATATTTGTTTTACAGAGGTGTTTATTAAAATGTATAGGGATTGCTCTCTGACTAACTAAACAGTGTTTCAGTGTGGAGTCTACGTTTGGTATGAGGCTGAAGGTATTTTGCATTTCCTCATACACCCATCTTCCCCCATTACAAGCTTTCCTATCAGACAAACTCTTAGTGGTTGATTGCACCAGTTGTACTATTCTTCCAGAAAGCAGCTCTGGCAACAGTAACAGTGTGAAACTGGTGTGAGTCTAATCAGTTTTCTTCTCAGCTCTTGCTGGCACAGGATAGTAAAAGGGGTCTGGCCCTCCCCGGCCTTGCATACTGTGTAGTATTTACAGCTATACAAAGTGAGTACAAAGTGGGTTTAAACCGCTACAATCCATGTAATTAAGGAGATTTCTTATTTGGAGTCCTTTACATTCACTTTGCGTAGGTATAAATAATTACATGAGCTCTCAGGTTGTGGACAATCAGAACCAAACTCATTAGGCAGAAATAACATGGTATTATCTAGAGGGAAGTTGAGAAAAGAGGCAAATGTCTATATATAATGAAGGATATATAGGGGATGCAGAAGTTGGAAGCTTTCAGAAGGAAGGGGAAGGAGGGAAATCTCAAAAAGGAAGTAGAGAGATTGAAAGACAAATAAATAGCTAATTATTCAATCTTTGGATGGAAACTGTATTTGAGTTTCTTTTGGCTACTATGCTAACCAGTGGTGATATTTGCATAGGCTGACAAAAGAAATTGAGGAATAAAATCTCTTTCCAAAGTGTTTGATTGCCTCCTACCATAAATTGGCAGAATATGTGGGAAGGAGATCCTACAGGCAAAAAATAAATGAAAGAAATACCACCTGAGCTAATGAAGGACAGGGACTGACATACTGCCATCTGTAGAGTTTGCTCCTTACTTCCCTTCCCGCTCCTCGAGAGAATATGAACACATACCATACTTGAGAGGTTCTGAGGATGTCAGAAAAAAGTGCAGATCCTCCAAGAATGAGTTTAGCCCTGAAATTGCCGTGATGTGTTCCCCCTGTTTATTTCTGACATGTACTTTGCTTATGTGCAAGCAACTCTCGTTGACTTCTGTAGTGATCACACACATGTTTTGAAGGGCAGACTTTGGTCATTAGGTTGTAAGTGGCCTCAACTGCCATATATGTCACAGCTGAGTTGAGGGGGCTCAGTACCTGCTGTAGATAGAGGGCGCACTTGAAAGTTAGAGGCATTCCTGGCATCAGCAGAATTTTCAATTTTAAATACAGGGTATATGTATGCTGAACTTTATATGCTTCTGTGTTTGTTGATATTTTATGTGCCCTAAGAAGTGCATGTTTTGCCTATTTTTTAATTAAAATGGCAGTTTCATACTGGCTTTCATGGGGGGGAACTCCTCCCACATTTGAGCACCTTCTAAATACTTGTATAGGGTAAAAGGTACCTTGCACTTTGTGGCCAAGGTGGGAAACCCAATACAAATTCTCCATTGGTAGAATTAGCAACAGTCATGGTAGGCACTGTGACAGCAGCACATGGTATTCACGTGGGCTGGGATTTTCAAGGAAGCCTAGGAGAATTAGTTATCCAAATCCTACTGAAAAGGGATTTGAGCAACCAGTTCTCTTAGGTGCCTTAGAAAATCCCAGTGATACTTGGTTATAAATAAATAAAACAGTCAGAGGCTAAATTGCTTGCCTAAAATGTGGCTGTTTGATCAATTAAAAAATAAACCTGTAAGTGATTTTCTTTCCAGTAAGATCTCCCATAGAAGTAGCTTTGGATGATGGATATTAAAATATATTAACTTTGAGGAAATAGAAAATAACTGTACTGCCCATTTCCCCCCCACAAAATTTATTTTAGAAAATTAAAAGTGCACCATATTGTTTCTCTCATCTATTCCTGTTCATGACATTTTTTGACATATAAGTTACAAGGATTTGGAATTCCATGAACTATTGTCTATTTATTTTTCTGATTTGAGTTTATATATTTAAACAAGTGTAAGGTATTAATTATTATTAGTCAAATCTGCACATCTAAAATGAAGAGAACATTAAAATGGGTAACAGAGGAATAGCCGTGTTAGTCTGTATTCGCAAAAAGAAAAGGAGTACTTGTGGCACCGTAGAGACTAACTGTAGCTCACGAAAGCTCATGCTCAGATAAATTGGTTAGTCTCTAAGGTGCCACAAGTACTCCTTTTCTTTTTGGAAAATGGGTAGGTATGTGTATCCAGATTTGGTAGATATGCTGAGTACTCACCATTCAATATATACAGTGGCCTCACTTTTTTGCCAGTTTTCAAAATACTATAGATTGTGGCGATATTCTCTTTGCTTAACAAGGAGAATACGTCTCAAACTAGTAATACCTCCAGAACAAGCATGAACTTTTCAAGTGTACCCACTGTATATGGCAGGTATTGCACACACTGAGAACCTTCTAGGAAGTGTTCAGTACCTCGAAGGATTGGGCATTCCTGCCCCAATCCTGCAATTGCGTCTGCCTGTTTAGAGTCCCGCTGACTACATTAGGGTTCTGCCCTCAAATCCTCCACTGATTTCCTGGGGGTTGCAAGGCACATAAATCAGGGCCAAATTTGGTCAAATGTATTCAGTAATAGTACAGGCGAAAAGTCAGTCCCACTGCAACTGTAAAAACTGAAGATCAACTAATTTCCTAATGCCAAATCCTGGTCACTGATTTCAGTGGGAATACTTGGGCCTAAGTGAAGCAGAATATGAGAAATTACAGACCTCTGAATTTGTAAGGAATGATAGACAATTTCATTTTGTTTTGAAGTTCAGTCATTCTAAAAGGGAAGACTTTGGGTTGAGTTGTTTAGGTTTTCCATGAGATGTGTGAATAGCTTTCATAAATTATAAACTTGCCTGCATAGTGTCTGGGAAAACATGACTTCCATAACAAATGTAATGTTCGAACAACTGATGTTTGTTTGATAGCCTTTACTCTGTTAGATCTATATGTAGGGTTATACTCTGCATATTTGCCCCAGCCACCTGCCTTGTATCACACCATTAGAGCTAGGGCGCTGCTCAACAGATGTTCCATCGAAGGGATATACTATCCTCTTTATATGATGCTGCCTTCCTGTTATGACAGTGCAAGTATAGTTTGTACTTCAGTGGGACCAAATCTCATTCCCTTTTAGAGATCTATCAGGGGCAACATGGATTTGGTACATACTATGATGTTCTTCCAATATTTTAACAAGAGGATCCCCAGAATTTCCTGTATATATTAGGGTGTATGGGTGCATTGCGGTGGATGGACTGACGAATATTCATTCATTTCTCATTGAAATGCAAATGCTCTCTTATAACTAAGGAAGAAGGCAACATCTCAACAAAGGGCCCAGCAGCGAAAACATATCAGAAGTCCCACTGAAGTTAATGCAACCGTTTTTGTGAGTCAAGTCAGGTATGGACATTTTTGCAGACACACTACCAGGCCCAAACCTACTATACTGCACTTGGCTGAAATATTTGTATTTTGTTTCTGAAAAATATACTGTGGAAGCTGATAGTAAAGCACAGAGTTCAATTTGTATCTGTTGTATTAAAGAACTCATAGGAGTAATGCAGTCTGTAGGTATCTACCCCAGGAAAAGACTTTAAAATGCTAATTATATTTGGTGCAATCTGGTCCATTCCAAAGGAAAAGAAACATGCTGACTGAAACAACATTACAAGCATATAGATAAGCAGTCTCTAGCAGGAGTAATGTAGCTGTATACGGAAAGAGGGTGAATGCATCAGAGGCAAATAAATCATTCCACAACTCCTTTCAATTTGATAATGACAGAATTTGAACCCGGAGTCGCAAGGACTCTCTGAGAGTCCTCTCTAGCACATCACTGGGTGTTGGTAAATCACCATTTGGGACATGCAAACATCCGAAGAAGCCACACCTGACACATTGTGATCAAAATATGTAGTAATTTCTGTTCCATATCCCAGATCTATTATGTGGATGATGGAAGGATTTCACTCTTTGATATGCCAAGTAAATAGTATTACGGTGTTAACTGATGGTGGTGGGGGGGTGTAAACGAGTAATCATCGACTATCTGTTAGAGCACTTAAGGAAGAATAAAGTAGAAGTTATATACTGAAGTAAATAAAACTTTAAAAAGACATGCTTAAGTTGCATAACAATTTTTAATACTAAATCCATGGTTTTAAAACATTTTGATCAATAATATTTCCTTTGTCTTCCTTTTTTGTCTATGTACTTACAATTACAAAGTGAGTTAAACATTTTGAGAAGTCTCCTTCTCTAGCTATTCTGCAATACATGGCATCTATGGTAAATATGGTGTGCATATTGGAATGAGGGGCATTTTATCATTATATAATTGATATTTTGCTGTTCCAAAAGAATGACCAATTAAAAAATAAACCTGTAAGTGATTTTCTTTCCTGTAAAATAAAATAAAGATCCAGAACATTGCATGCATCTCTCAGCCTTGCAATTAGTCTTCTTAATTACTCTGTAATACAAAAAGATTCACTGTTAGATGGGGTCATATCTTAAGCACATTGAAACACAGAAGTTTGAATTATAAGTTTTTCTTATGGTGAATTCAGCTTAATGTAGCTATTCTGAATCAGAGAAATGTAGGACTGGAAGGGACCTTGATAGGTCATCTAATCCAGTCCCCTGCATTGAGGCAGGACTAAGTATTATCTAGACCATCCCTCTGTAACCAGTTCTTAAAAACCTCCAGTGAGGGAGATACCACAATGTCCTAGGTAATTTTTTTTCCAGTGCTTAACGACCCTTAAAATTAGGAAGTTTTTCCTAATGTCTAACCTAAATCTCCCTTGTTGCAATTTAAGCCCATTACTTCTTGTCCGGGCCTCCGTAGTTAAGGTGAACAATTTATCCTCTTCTTTATAAGAGCTTTTTATGTTCTTGAAGACTTTTCTCATGTCCCCCCTCAGTCTTCTCTTCTCCAGACTAAACAAACCCAGTTTTTTTTCCCAATCTTTCTTTGTAGGTCATGTTTTTTAGACCTTTGATCATTTTTGTTGCTGTCCTCTGGAGTTTCTCCACTTGTCCACATCTTTCCTGACCTGTGGGGCCCAGAACTGGATACAGTACTCCAGCTGAGGCCTTATCAGTGCTGAGTAGAGCAGAAGAATTACTTCTTGTGTTTTGCTTACAACACTCCTGCTAATAGAATCCAAAATGATGTTTACTTTTTTTGTAACAGTATTACACTGTGGACTCAGATTTAGTTTGTGATACACTATAGCCCTGTCACAGGGCCAGTATCCTGGGGCGGGGCGAGGGCATGATAGCCCCACAGTACAGCCACTAGGGTTGCACCATGTCTCAGGGTCACGTGGCCCAGTGGCCAGAGTCAGTGGGACTCCCCTTGTCTTCAGGGAAGCACAGCCCAATGGCCAGAGTGAGGAGGGCTCCCATTGTCTGTAGGGAAGCACTGTCCAATGGCCAGAGGCAGTAGAAGGAGGGCGGGGGGGGGAGAGTTGGTGGGCCACTCCCCAGAACGGGGGTTGCAGGGCAGCCAGGTAGGGGGACCCAGGCCTTCTCTGCTCCACCAGGTCCCAGCCCAGGACCCTGGTAGTGGCTATAGGTTTTGCCACATAGTCATCAGATTTCAGAGTAACATCCGTGTTAGTCTGTATTCGCAAAAAGAAAAGGAGTACTTGTGGCACCTTAGAGACTAACCAATTTATTTGAGCATGAGCTTTCGTGAGCTACAGCTCACTTCATCAGAGAATCCACCCATAACACACCGACTACTGCAGGGAAACTGGCTGGTCCCTCCCTGGGCTTCCTATCTTGATTCCTGTAGCTGAGTCTGGGTGTCTTCAGGGTCTCAGGGTGCTGCAGATACCTATAATCTCTCTGGGGACTCTATGGGTGCCTGCCTGGGTTGCAGCATCTCCTGCTCCCTTGCTCTGGGCTCCTGGTTGCTCCTCATCTGGAGCCAGAAAGGTGCATCTTCCCTCCTTAGTGGTCAGCCCTGACAGAGCTGTGCAACTCCCTTTTATACTGCAGCAGCAGTTGGAGCATGCCCAGCAGAGGTGAGGGGGCAGGGTTTCTGCTGCTCAGAGTGTTGCCTTAACCCCTTTCTCTCCAGTGAGGGGCCAGTACATCCCATCACAAAGCCCCAGATCCTTTTCTCCTTTCTAGGCAGTCATCTCCCATTTTCTATTTGTGCAGTTGATTAGTTCTTCATAAGTTCAATACTTTGCAGTTGTCCTTCTTGAATTTCATCCTATTTATTTTAGACCATTTCTCCAGTTTCTGATTTTGACATGATTTTGAAGTCTGATCCTGTCCTCCAGAGAACTTGCATCTCCTCCCTGCTTACTATCATCTGCAAACTTTGTAAGCGTTCTCTCTATGCCATTATCTAAATCATTTAGGAAGGTACTGAGTAGAACTGAACCTATGACAGATCCCTGGGGGACCCCACTTGCCCTTCCAACTTGACTGTGAATCATTGATAGCTACCATCTGGGAATGGTTTTCCAACCTGTCGTGCATCCACCTTATACTAGGTTCATCTGGGCTATCTTTCCTTGATTTCTTCATGAGACGGTCATGTGAGACAGTTATCATAACAGACATTATTATTAGAACAATGTAGACAAATTTGTAGCACTATATATCATTTTGTAATAAACAGAAACTAGCAACATTGAGAGAATAGGAAACCTTTGTGTTTTAGGATGGCCTTAGAGCATCATTATGGCCCAACTCCTCAATTCCTACTTACATAAATAGCCCTACTGACGTCAGTGGGAATTTGGAACATTTTGGATGGAGGATCACTTGACTAAGAGTTGGAGGAGTAGTCCATATGTATCATAAATGGCAACAGAATTGTAATATTCACATGACTAAGATGCCAAGGTGTTGTGAAAAAGAAGGCCAAAGGCAGCAAGCTATACATGCAGCTCTGAGGTATAATGGCACTACCTGCAGCGTGTTACTGGTTTTATTTAATATCCTTATTATTATATGTCAGTTAACAAAATGATTAAATGCTTATAGCAGTAAGAACTGGAGGGGAGAATCTTAAAGCAAAAACTATAGTAAGGATCCTATTATCTTTGCCCCCTGATGAGCATAATGATTTTTGGAGGGAAAATTATCTAAGGAGTTCTGTTATTCACATAGCTGAAGTTGCATAACTTAGATTGGTCCCCCCTCACAGTGTAGACCAGGCCTATAATAGCTATTCTGCAATGATTATTCCAGAATAAAAGTGTCCTCATGGGGGCTAATTTTGAAGTAATTATCGGAGAATAGCTATTTCAGCAAATTCTGAACTGTAGACAAGCCCTAATTCCATCTTTCAGAAAGAGGAAGAAGTGTTTGGATGGAAGGGAGAAAAAAGTTTAGTTAAGAAATAAACCTCATTGTTTTTTAAAAAATACTTACCTGTCAGCTCAAGGGCTTTTCTCAATTCAAGGTAGGAGTACATCTTATTGTTATCATCATCAAATTCTTCCAATTCCTCTTTCTGAGGTGCATCTTCTCCCAGGACCTTTTCTATCTCAGTTAATGTCAGGTATCCATTTGCATTTTTGTCAGCACCATAGAAAAAGACTTGGAGGTCTATTTGAATCAAAACAGTACATCAAAATGTGCAATCTTTTACATTTTCACCTAGAATTTACACCAGAATAATCCATTCAAAATCAAGGATGGAGACTCAAAGGATTCCTAGCCAATCACTCTTTTCAGTTATCATTATGCAATAGATAACCATGTTGCTAAGGTTAGGGTTTTATAGCCACAGTCCAGGCTGTTGATAGGGCACATTTATTTGACCAAAATTCCTTGCAGGGCTCCAATGGAGCAAATACTATTGCAGCAGCTCTTCTACCCTTGCAGTAGGTGGATTGTGCATTTCTACCCATGTCGAGTGGAGTCCACTGGCTGGTGGTAACTCCATGCATGATGAGTTAAAAGAACCCGAGTAAACACACTAGCCATTTACACCATCCATATGGCTTCTGATCCATCTTTATCATTTCCCTCTTTTGTTTCATTCTCCTAATAAATATCCTCTCCATTCTACAAACCAGTCACCAGGTAGTTTACTGAATTAGATAAAAGAACAATCAACAAAAATAAAACAAAGCTGTCAGGTTTTCTCCTGCAAATGACTGATTGCAACTGGTTGATGCAGCCCCCAAAAGAACATAAATGAATCTGTTCTACTTTCTAGTGTCCTTATGAGAGAGGATAAATTACTATATGATGGAATAAAGCCACTTCAGGATCATGTACATTATCTTAATTATAGAATGATGAGTTCTATAGACATATGCATGGTATTAACACATTTTTCCTGTCAACATAAACAGCGAGGTGGTAAAAGCTACAGATGACATTACATTATTTATGTTATTTAAGACTAGAGATGACTGTGGGGAACTACAGCAAATAATAACAAAGCTAGGACTTTGGTCAACAAGATGGCAGGTGATATTCAATATACCACATGGCAAGTACAAGGCAATGTACATTAGAATGGAAAGTTTGAACCACTGATGATTTCCACATTAACTATGACTAGTCAGGAAAAAGACCCTGGCATCACTGTGGACTGCTCAATGGAAATATCTGCTCAGTGCACAGCAGTAATCAAGAACCAAATAAAATCAGTGGTATGAGCTCACTTTGATTTCTCTATTAATCTCTGGCCACCCCCAAATGATACAGCAGAAACAGAATAGGCCCTTAAAAGAACAAATAAAAGGTTTAGAAGCATGGAGGGAATTCTATCTGAGGAAAGATTTTTAAAAATAGTATTTTAGTATTAGAATTGAAGAAATCACATTACACCAGTGTAAAACTGACCTGATATCAGAATCAGGAATATCTAATAAATATAGAAAGGAGATAACAAAGAGGTGACATGATAAAAGAAATCTGAAAATATGAATGATGTAGGGAAGCAAAAGTGAACTTGCCCATGTTCCCTTTCTCATAATACAAGAACAAAGAAACAACCAAGAAAATTAAAAAGCCACAAATTTAAAATTTAAAAATCTAAAAATAAATAAAATATTTTGCACAATATATAATTGACCTGTGGAATTTATTGGAACTAATATCCTGGATCCAACACAGCTACAACAACATTCTCACAATATACAATATTCTTACACCAGTATGTTAGTCCAGTAAAAGATATGACCTCACCAACATTTTCATTGTTGTTCAAGGTCATTTATACCATCTACAGGAATACTCTAAGCACTGTCTTGCATTGAAACTCATTAACTCATTGAAACTCAAATACATAGATCTTCAAAATAAAATTGCATTGTGCAGAGCTGCTGGGGATGTAACTCACCCAGACGCTACCTCCTTAGCTGGAATGAAATTCACGCTTGTTGAGGTAGGGCCTACACAAGATCTATGCACCACGTAAGTCCTATTTTGAGGTGTTTTTGTGCCTTTTGTCCGGGGTGAACTTCAGCCCTGGTGAATACCTTCCAGGTGGGATCCCTGTAGGCTCCTGACATTTTTTCTTTCTGCTTGATTGCAAATAATGTCTTCCAACAACAAGGATCTCACCTGTAAGTTTCTTTATGAAAGGGATGTTTATTTTGTGCTTCTCTTCCACTGTCTCTGGCTCCATGACTTGTGTCTGATGATCCAGAAGAACTGGGTGTGTTGGGTCTTTCACTGGTGCTACAGTGGACATAATAGCAAATTCTTTCATTACATCAAAACTCATGTGAAATTATTACTTATTACTTATTATCACTAATGGCAGAAAGACAACTGTTGCATAATTTATTTTAAATGACATAATTCTGATACTGAAAAACAACTATACCCAGTGTACACTCTCACCAGCTTCTTTTTGTTTTCTGAAGTTATTCAATCATTGTTTAGGGACATTGACCCTACTATGTTCTTTTATTCTTCATCCAACGTGGTATGTGGCTATTGCTAATAGCTGTCAGTAAGCATTAAAACAGTAGGGCCAGATTCTCAGCAGATATGAATCATCTTTGATTCAGTGAAGTCCACAGAGCTCTGCCCATTTACAATGGCTGAGGATCTGGCCTGTAATTCATAATAATGACATGCAGATTGATGTGAAACTAATGGCAATTCAGATGATTGGCATGCTGGTCAAAATATGAACCATAGTTTCCATTCAGTGGCTTGTAACTTTCTTGATCAGTATTTTGAAAGATATTAGTAGTAACTATGGATCCAGCTGGCATGTTGGAACAGACCAAGGCGGGTTACTCTTTTCTTTACTGTTTGTGTTGACTACTCATTTATGCTGAAATAAAAGCATAGGGCTCATGAAGAAAAGTTATTGAGTATCTTTATGTCTCTTTCAAGCAATTGTGTGTGTGTGTGTGTGTGGGGGGGTATTTTGTATATTTCTTACTTGGAGGATATTAATTAGCTACTGTATAGCTTCTGCAAGACAAGTCTCCACATTGAATTAGAGGTTTAGGTGAGTAATAGAAGAACAGAAAGGGAAGTAAAGTTAGAATCAGTAAAAGAAAACATCCCTTGATACAATGTATAGTTAACCAGTTAGAGTCACTAACACAAATACCGTGAAATACTTTTAAAGGGCTGAACAACAAACTGTATTTTGTAGCTATGAAGTTAAAATAATGTAATGGGTAATTTAACTTCAAGTTTCAAGTCATAAACCAATTACAATTGGAAATCAAAGAGTTTTTTCTCCCCCATGTACAGCAAAGCAAAATTACACTGGTACGTTCTATAGCGTTGTTGTCTTCCTTCAAAACACCAAGTGCATTCCTCTGTTAAAGATTGTATCAGCATGTACAATAACTCAATACAAGGTTGCCTGAAATGCATCCAATTCCTGTCAATCTGCTTTATCTTTATCTTTCCAAATGTATCTCTATAGTGAGTATAAATAATGGGTTTAAATGTTAGTCTGGACTGAGGTATATGACCCACCATAATTTTGGGAAGATGGAGACAGAGTTGAAAGTGTATCTTCTTCTGTTTCTTTTAAGAGTTCAGATGTGGACACATAAGACTTTGAGTTTCCCATATCTGTGTGGTTCAAGAAGTTTTCAATAAAATAGAAATCATCTTTAAGCTGAGAGATCTGAAGGAACACTGAATCCAATCCCTGTCAAATAAAGGACCGTTAATAGATAGGCCATGTATTATGTCCATGAAATACTTTACCAACTCTAAAACAACATATCATGCAAAGGCTTCTTTTATGCATATGCAAAATTATTTGGACTGTGCCCTGCAAAAGTGAAAAAAATCAGGAAAACTTTGCCTCTCAGAATTAAATATTATATTTTCCCCAAACTATTCCTTATTATTCCATCAAATACAAATAGAATGTTGTGGTCAAATTTGTAATGTAAGTACATTGATTTCAATAGAATTTCACTAGAGATTAATATTAAAGTGGTGTTGCACTCTACTGTACTTCTTCTTTTACAGTTTGACAATTGCCATTTTTGTTTGGTTTACCTCTTCCTGAATGGGCTTGACTCAGTGTAGACCCCAGGATCATTGCTTGCCCACAGGGTTCTTAGCAAGTTCAAAGAAGTTTAGCAGACACAAAATTTAGTCCCCACTTTCATTCAATAGAATAATTAACCTCTTGCAGTGTTTGAATTCAGGCAGTCGAGCTAGGTTGTAACTACTGAGTGAAAGGTACTGAGACTCTTTCATCAACTACTAGGGCATACTTCTATTTCCTTGTGTAATTCTAACAAGCCTGATGGTGAAACCTGTTTAATAGGATGAAGAAACTCACTGCACTTATAGTAACTTTATTTGGGATTTTTCTGTTGAGCAGTTTTGGAGTGACTATAAAGCAGACCCTACTTCTGCACAAACTATTTAGAAATCAAACCGTAGCGAGTCTAGAGAGCTGGTATCATGGTTCTTTTTAGCTTGAAAAATGAATTACCCAAAAGTAAACTTTAAACATCTTTATATCATGAGTTCAATGCTCACAGAAGGTGCTGGGTGAAAGTTCTGGAGACTTTGAGCCCAATTCTCATTTACACTAAGGCCTCTTAAACTGCCTGAGTGACGACCTGAATGCCTTGACTTAATTTATCGACAGAACGAATACAGCATGGCTAACAGAAGTTCCTTACATAGCCCGGCGTATTCCCCAACCCTGACCACCTCTGCGAGTGACAAGTCATCATGCCCATTCAGTCCTTAACCTCTTGGTTCAGACTGCCAACAAGGGAGACAACTGTGATGTGGTTCCAGTCAGTGAAGTATGGCTAATTTATACCCGCTAATGATCTGTCCCCATTGGTTTACAGTGGGCATGATGCAACACATGGACTGAGCCTTTCCCTGCAGACAATATGTTATGGTACTAGTTTATCTGCTGCTTCTGAATGCAAATGATTGAAACATTCACTGTCTTGAATTTGTATTTTGAGCACAACTAATTTCAATGACTAAAGGGCTACAAGTCCCACGTTCCGAAAAATCTTTAGGGCTTCAGTGACATCTAGTGGTGAAGGTAATTCTTTGTATTTTCATTACATTTGCACTGGATTTCATTAAACTGCAAAGGAGAACATCTTCAAAATCCTTTTGTTTTATTGGAAATTAAGTACAATCAGGCACAGGCTCCAAGTGAGCTGGTTGTCAGGCCCATGTGGGTCTATTTAATCGATTGTTTTTGTGGCAAGAAACTCCCCCTCTCCATATGTTTTATAAAAAGAAAAGGAGGACTTGTGGCACCTTAGAGACTAACCAATTTATTTGAGCATGAGCTTTCGTGAGCCACAGCTCAATATGTTTTATGTAAACTTAACAACATAAAGGAACAGAATCTGAGCCAACAAATTCACTCACGTACCTCATCCACAGAACAAACTAATTCTGCAAAGCTCGGTCTGCTTATGATAAATACTCTGGGAACCAGCTGTGACTATTCTTCTTCACCTTCTGTCCTTTTCCTACTCCCTTCCCAGCTCCAATGAAAACATAAACTACAATCCATGGAACTAACAGAGTTGTGTTAATTCTCTACCGTACTCATTGGCTTTATGTTGTATCCACATCCCCTGGATTTCATCTGTGTGTCTAGACATTCTAATCCCTTCAGGGCAAGGATTGTGTATTTTCTGTGCATATACAGCACTGATCTGCTCCACGTTGTATTTAGCTAAAACACTCTAAGGTCTGGTCTACACTACCGAGGTATATCGATATAACTACATCACTGACACCGATGAGTGACCCAGTTATACCAACCTAAACCCACCTGTAGAAAGCGCTATGTCAGCGGAAGAGCTTTTTCTACTCTTTGCTCCATGTGTTGGCAGTGTGTGGCCTCACCAGGAGTGCTTGTATTGATTGTATTGTCAGTGTGGGGCCCTGTGGGATAGCTCCCGAAAGCCAGTAACAGTCAACATAACAGTATCTACGCTGACACTGCGTCAGCATAATGACATCAGCCTTGACTCGGCACTGCTCGTGGGGGTGGAGTCATTAAGTCGGTGCAGTGGAACAGGTGCAAAATTTAAGTGTAGACATTTCCATAGTTAGGTCGCTGTAAGCTGCCTTTCGTCGACCTAACTCCATAGTGTAGACCAGACCTTAGGAATTACTAATCTGAAATTAGTCCCTTCTGATACCTCCATCAGCCAGGCCAGGCCGGCCAAGTCATTGCTATTCATTGCACTGCTGCGTACTCTGACTCTTCTGACAGTAGGACAGAGTACTCAGCAAGAGCTTTAAGCAACTTTAACTTTACTATCATTTTCTGCTTAGCACATGCTCTTTGTCCAGGGGAACATGTTGCTATGTTCTAGGGAAACAGCTCCTTTTCTATGTATACCATCACTCATGTGGACATTTTACAGAAAGTACCATGGCTGGAACATGGGGGGGGGGGGGGGGAGAGGGAGGGAGGGGGCTACTGCCTGTTTAGCCACTGTCCCTCTTGATGAAATTTCCCTATAGGTTTGTCTTCCTTTCATAATGTGAAGTACTGGGAACAGGGAACTGTGTGTGTGTGTGTGAGCAATTTCCCTACCCAAAATAAATCGCCACCTGAATATCCAGTATTTATTTCTATATCCTCTGCCTCTGTCATGAGTATCCATTCACAATATCCACATTTCCTTCTCTTGGCATCCAAAATGTGAAACACTATGGTGCTGCGGTATATTGGAAAAACAAGCCCCCATACTAGGCAGAACACAAGGGCTACAATTTCAGCCCAGAGATTCAGCTGCTCTACTTGAATTGGGCTTTTGTGCTTTATGACATCCACAGAAGCATTTCACTGAATTGCTGCCTTGTGTTCAGTCACAGACAGTGCTCAGTATTACCCTGCATTTTGCATAAAAGCATCTTTGAACATATCCCCAGTGTATTCTAAGAAAAGACTGGCTGGGACTGGATAGAGAGCAATGGTATTTTCTTTTCCTGGGTTCAGAATCCATGCCATTTCATTTGAAAGTTTTCATGCAAGTAGTCACACTCTTTTGCTAGGTCAAAATCATGCATATCCAAACCTATACTGCCAATAGTCCAGGCCCCTGAAGCTTGAGGATACATCTGTACTGCAAGGGGGGAAAAAAAAAAGAAAAAGAAAACAACCAGTGGCCTTGAAACGTAGACCCTGGGTCACATGCCTTTGGTTTGCAGGGCTTTCAGTATGGGGCTAAAAATAGCAGTGTAGACATTTCCGCTTGGTCTGTAGCTGAGGCTCTCTCCTTCACTGGGTTTAAGAGCCAGGGCTCCAGCCAGAGCCAGAATGTCTACTACTGTTTTTAGTCCCATAGCAAGAGCCCTGCAAGCCCAAGTCATTTGACCCAGGCTCTGACTCAATGCCACAGGGTTTGTTTTGTTCTTTTTTTTTTTTTTCCTTCAGTGTAGACATATCCTCATGTTTCAGTGTCCTAGGCTATTAGTAGTATAGTTTTGGGTTCTTTCTTAAGGAAATATTGACCAGAAATACATACAGATTTAGTTAAAGTTATAATTCCTCATCCATAGACAAAAAACATATAACCGCTAAAATATATCTAAGCATTATTATTAATGAATATTTATGTTCTGGTAACACCCCAGGGTCCAAATCTTACTTTCCTCACTATAACTGGAGTGGTATTAATGGGTCACTTCAGCTTGAATGGTCCCTTAGAATATGTATTAACTACTTATGCTAAACAATCTGTTCCACCTTGTACTTAGCTGTGACACTCTGATTAAGTTTCCCAGACCTGAAGAAGAACTCTGCATAAGCTCAAAAGTTTGTCTCTCTCACCAACAGAAGTTGGTCCAATAAAAGATATTACCTCCCCCACCTCCTTCTCTCTAATATCCTGGAACATGGCTACAAGAACACTGCATACATAAATATTTGATGACAGTTGCTGTGTTGAGACTTTTGTATATATTCCTGCCCCACACTCCACTCCTAAATAGCAATGTTACAAATAAATCATTGGGTAGAGGAAGTTATTGTCTGTCGCAAATGATATTTTATTTCTGAAAAATTAACAAACTAACCTCTTCAAGGCGGTTTTGAAGGCTGTTCAAAGCCTCAGTGGCATAGTTAAATTGTTTTTCCATAACATTCATCTTAGACTCAGAAAGATTCTGCAAGAGTTAAAGAAAAAAAACCTTTAAGCAATATTTTAAAAGTTACAGGTAAGGAAAAATCCATTGGATTAAGCATTCCCAATCATTCAGAAAGTTCTTGTAAAGGTTATATATCTCTGAGGTATTCTTGTAAGGTGCAGCTTCTTTATATCGCAAGAAAAGCAACTGTAATAGCATTGGAACAATACTGACATCTAATGGGCAGCCAAATTAAATTTTTAGAGGTACATTCCAAGTTTGCTTCTTCTTTAAAGATGACATGCTGAATAAAATTGTATGGGTGAAACAAGGGCTCCATTGAAATCAATGGAAGTTTTGCCATTGACTTCACTGGGACCAAGATTTCACCCAATTCGCAGTGTTTAGATCCAGAGTAGAATTAAGCTAGAGGTCTGAGGTTCAGCTCTGGACTTGAATTACCAAAATCTGTGAGACCTTCGTGTGAGTTTTAAACCAAAAATGGAGGAAGTCTCATGAGATCAGTCATTCTTTTGAGATTTCAGACACATTCAAGCCAGCGCTATACAAGTAGCCAGTTCAGGTGTTGGATCCAACCTGGGTTAGGTTTGAATCAGGGGAGTTGAATTCTGAATTCCACACAATTCAAATGGATTTTTTATTCAAAGTTCTTATTTTGGCTCATCTGTAACAGTAGCCACCTGGAAAGTCATATTACAATGAACTGTGCAATTGAGACACAATTTTGCAGCAATTCACATCACAGACAGGATCTCCCAGTACAATTGTCTCTGCATTTTTGGTGGTAAATGCAGTTATACTATAATTGTTCTCTATATCAGATGTTTGTTAGTACAATGGGGTTGTGATGGGGTGTGCATACTCCTCACCAGGCTGGAAGGGGTTAACCCCACAGTATCGGCGGAGGAAGTTCCGCCCCTCAGACCATAATGGGCATGCTCCAAGTGCTATGCTTGTATGAAAGGGAGCAGCCCTGCTCAGTCAGGGCTGACCGTTGGAGAGAAAGGACCTTTGGTGGAGGGTCCAGATAAGGAGCTGTCACAGCCCTTTCCTGTGGGAGCCAGAGATCCCGAGTTCCAGACTGGAGGTCTGTGGCCAAAGGAGTCCCAGGGAATTACCTGCACTGAGGAGCACAGAGACCCTGATGCCCCATGGACTCCAGCTTCAGGAAGTGCAGTAGGAAGTGACCCAGGGAGGGTGAGCAAGTGGTATCTCCCACCAGTGTGAGGTCAGTGTGTTTCAGTGGGATTCCCCACTGACTCAGTGGATGACCACTGTCAGGGCCCTGGGTTGGGACCTGGTGGAGTTGGGTGGGACTGGGAGCTTTACCTGGGCCACCACCCCAAATGGTGGCCCCTTGGGTATTGGACACTAGGCCACACTGCCTTATATGTGAGGGCTGCTATATTGACTCTGGCCACTGGGCTATGCTGCCCTGAACTCAGAGGCTGCAGTATTGACTCTGGTCACTAGCTATGCTGCCCTGAACTCAAGAGTCCCTGTGTTGACTCCGGCCATTAGTCTATGGAGACCAGAACCCAAGGGCTTCTGCTTTGACTCTGACCCTTGAACTTCATCATGGTGAGGCCCAAGACAGTCTGGTAGACAGTATACCCACTGTCCACCCCAACACAAGATGGGGTGTGCATATGTAATGCTGACAGACCCTTGTCATCGGTGAGTGGGATCGTACCTGGTGCCTTTGGAGCTTAGTGCATGAGCCTCTACCGCATGAGCTAAAAGCCAACTGGCTGTTAGCTAAGGCCGTAGAGCAGACTCATTTTATCTCTCTCTAAGTGGTCTTGGTGCCACTAGATGGGACAGACCACCACACCCAGAAGGTATATGGGTTACATATACACCGCCACAGGGGTATTTACAAAAACTAGAAAAATACGACATTATTTAAATTAGAGTCATGGTCTCAAATAAACCGAAACACCCCCAATTATAGCATAATAGCATTAACATATAGATAAAATACATATATCATATAAGATTAGATATTAAGAAAAACTTTCTAACTAGAAGGATAGTTAAGCACTGGAATATCAATGGAGATTGTGGACTCCCTCTCACTGGAGGTTTTTAAGAACAGGGTTCATAAACACCCATCAGGGATAAACAGTCTAGAAGTTTTTCATCATGCATCAGCACAGGGCACTGGACTAGATGACCTCTTAAGTTCCCTTCCAGCCCTACATTTCTATAATTCTGAGATTGTATAATGGCGTCCACACAGGGTGAAAACAAAGACAACCTGATGGAAAGGCAAGCCTGAGCAAAGGCAAAAGGTGTGAGAGTAGGAGAATTTACCATTCCAATCAATGTGATCAGAGAATAGAACAAATAGAAAATGTTTCCTGAGCATGCTCCATTACCTGGATTACACTCGGGGGGGGAAATATTAAGGTTAGAAAAGACAAAGGACCTGATTCTCCACTCATATAATTCTATTTACTTCAGGGGAGTTATTTCTGAATACACTGGTGTGAGATGAGACTTAGGGGTAAAATCCTGGCCCCACTGAAGTCAATGGGAATTCCCTGCTGAGTCTGTTAGTTACAGATTCTTAAATTATTATTGTAACTTTGGGTTAGCAATTTTCAGCTCTCTGTGGTGGCATGGTACAGGATAAGGCAATGATCACATTGCTCCTTTGAGCGGGCGGGGGGTGGGGTGGGTGGGAATTTGTCTGGGTGGCTGAATGGAGAGAACAGTGCTTTATGGCTGGGGGGAGAGTTTAAAAGGGATAGCCCATGCGGTGAAGACCCCTTTCGCATGGAGCAAGCTGAGGTAGCATCTACCTTCCCTCCCCTTTAGGTGGTGAAATACCAGGTTTAGTCTAGACCTGTTGTGGGCATTGTGCTCACCACCCCTTTTAGGGGGGCTGGGAAGGAATTTTTCCCTTACCACCAGATTGGCCTAGGTGGAGTTGGGGTTTATTCCCCCTACCCACAGTGGGTTTAGAGAGGGTTTTGTTGACATGTGGCATAAAGGGAGTTAGGCGGTATGTCACAACTCATTATGTAAGTGTGGGGCAGATGTCAAGTGTGGGTACCCCACAGGAAAGGGATACAGTGACCAGATAAATGGCTTGGTAAAGAACTTAAAAAGGAGGTGTTGGTTAAAGGAATGGAACCCGGGGGGAGGGAGATTTGGGGTTCCTATGACTGGTATGGCAGGCAATCAACTCATCTATCTTATAGCCCACCTTAGCCCTCCTACGAGTGGGGGTGGATGGGTCCCAGCAATGGATTGGCTAGGGGTCCTGGATGGAAAAAGAGGAGGAGCTGCTAGAAGCGTCCTGAGAAGTTATTGAATGAACATGGGGTTACTGCACTGTAGACTTTTATCTGCCAGGTAGTCCCAGACATCTAATAATAAAGTTGTGGCCTGATTAAAACCTTACCAAATGTCTCCCGTCCTCCTTTCATGTAGCCGGACAATGACAGGGTACAAGGTAAACCACAATTTACATTTACAAAATCAATAATACATTTTGCACTGTCAGTGTGGAATTTAAATATCTTCCAAGCTGGAAAAGGGTTTAACATTATACTGCAAAAAATGTTTGTCAAATTCTTCAAGCATACATTGCTAAACAATACAGACCTGTGAGTTTAGAGAATGCATCAGAGAATCATCTCTTCCCTCCATATTGAGGAACTGGCCTGTGAAATTAAGCATGTGGTTTTGCAGCTGCGTTATTCTGCCTTTCATTTCTTGGAACTCCATTGCTGTAGACATATTCAATTTATGAACACACTCAAGTAGATAAGAGGTCTCCTGTGACCAAAAAAAGGGGGAGGAGGAAAGAAGGAGGTTAAATGAAAGAATATGGAATTCTATCATTAATTTAGGAAATCCTTTGAGAAATACAGATGTTACCCAATTGCCCTATGAAGCATTGGATCCACTTTATCTTCTTGGTTGCTAAATATCAGAGATATTCTCTTCTCAAGCACAAGATGGAAATTGTTATTCAGCATTTGAATCCAACAGCTAAGTATCTCACTTCATATAATCCTGCTCTTGCTGTACAAGAAATGCTTACACCATTTTCTCACGTTCTCATGGCAGTTTTGTACTTTAAGGCTCAGTTCTTGGTTCATTGTGTATCACGGTATCTTTTTGCCGAATCTTGTATTTTTATATTATCTAAAAATTAACAACATTTTCTAAACAGGAAAATAAATAGGAATTTCACTTCATTTCATGCTGAAAATGATAGAATGATTGGAGATGAGCCATTTAAACTAAGCATTGCCTCAGTACAACACCAGTCTGCAGCAAAATGGCATTGTGTGAACTCAGGCACTCTTTATGGCCCAAAGTTTCGTTCCCTCTTGTACCTTCCACTCAAGGGCCAGATACAATCACAGTCTCCACATAACCCCTAGCATATTGTGGATGCAAATCACCAAGTATCATGGCCCAGTCCCCATCTGTACCATCCCATTCAAACTGGACAGACATGCTAGTACAAGCATGCTATGCCTTTCAATGGAATGCTGGAGAATATGCACTTCCTCTGTATGCTGGGATGTTGAGGGAGGAATTTTGCCTTCTCATGCATAGTCACTCCTACAGCTCCCTCTCAGGTGGTCATTCTCTTCACAGCCCCATACTCAAGACAGTGCTGATTCCTTAGACTGCACTGTGTTGCTCAGTCACTAATAAAGCATAGCACAACTGGAGAACTCCTTTCCCCCCTTTTATAAATGTTTCAATTATTTTTGTTTATTATTATTACTACCTATACTGTAGTAATGTCTAAGCACCCCAAACAGGTATTGGAACCCCATTTTACTACCAGCTGTACACACAAATAACACAAAAATAGTTCCTGCCCCCGAGAGCTCACCATCTATGATTTAGACAGTAAACAAGATATGAATCAAGAGATAAATGGTATGGTTGATGGAGGGCAGTGTAACAGTCAAGATGGGAAGAAAAAGTGCATTTGCAAAAGTTAGATATTCACTGTGCTTAGCAGTCAGTCAAGTATATTAAACTAATGCAACTTTGGTATCTTCTGTGGCTTTGGTATTTGTAGACGTTCACAGCCACCAACCAGCTGGAATTGGACAGGGGCTAAACTGTGCCCCGGGGTACACCACAATGGGTGCAAGATGAGAGCTCCTTGTGCAGTCCCCAAAGATCATCAGGGCACAATCTGTTCCAATGAGAAATATTTCATACTCTATGTACTTTCAGACTGTTGAGATGAAATAGGAATATTTAGAGGATCTACCTATGTGACACTGGTTTGAGTGCACCCTCTGTGGATTTAGTCAAATTAATTCCAGCGGTCAAAACCTTTTCAGAAATATTTTGTTGTATTCCTGATTAAAACAAATCTAGCATATTCCCTGACATGTTCACTTCTCAGTTCCATTAGTAATTTACATCATGCTCCTTTCTGAAGAAGTCATCAGGAAGACTGCTGATAATAACAGGCTATAAATGGCAAACAGATATCTTAATTCTCAAGAAATGGGACACATTGGCATTCACATCAGATACAATCAAGAGGGAATGCAAAAGTTCCAAAATAATAAGATGTTTTCAGTAATATCATCATTTACAAGGTGTACGTTCATGTCTACAAGATGAACCAAATAGATTAAAAAAGAAATTGTTCATTTACTCTGGATAGATAGCACTTTCTAGAATAAAATGTCATCAGATAGATTTCATTTTTACATAGATGCCACCTTGTAGAGAAAAACTCCAAGCTGGATGAATCCATACTTCTCTACCTGAAGGTCTTGACAGGTCTTTCAAGATGACAGAAATCTCATGTGTTGTAGCTAGTTTATCTGTACCTTTAACACTCATCACCTCATACAAATGTTTGAAAAGTATCTCCCTGGCATACAATGTCTCAACGTTCATTTGGTTTGGGCTTGTTATTAGTGGAGGTGGGCTCAAATGGAATGGTGGAAACACACACAAATCCTGGGAAAGTTTAGACTCAGATCCCAGTCTAGATCCATACTCTGCCACTGAGGCTTATAGCCAGTTCTTACCATGAAAGAAGTTGTGGTGTTCCCCTTTAAATCCATCATAAGTATGTAATCTTACTGGTTGATTCAGTCCGTAGTGCAAAAAGCTCTCCCAAAATTTAAAGCCTCAGGTTGTACCTTTGGCAGCAAAATAGATTTGCACCAGATCTTGGGTATCTGCATCTGAATATGCTACCCTAAAGACAGTAGAGAAGATGGCACCATTTTGACACTCAGTCCTAAAAGGTGCTGAGCCCCATTTCAACAAACATTTAAGCAAGTGCTTAACTTTGAACATGTGAGTTGCTACATTGTCTTTACTGGGAACACTCACACACTTAAACACAAGCTTACACCTTTTTCTGGCCTGGGCCAGAATGCTGAGCGCTTGTAGGATCAAGCCCTAAGTCAATAAGATTTTAGCATTGTATTTATCAAAGTGTATATGGCAGGTACTGCAATGATAATTTCCCATTGTCATGGATGAGATCCGTAGGGGCTTTTGGCACTAATGTACTAAATGGGGCATTGCTATGTAGTATGGGCCTCAGAGAAATATCTGTAAGATGGCACTTACTAGATATTTTCTCTTTTGAAAAGCAACACAATTAACTGAAACAATTTATTTCTTTTCAGTATTACAGTATAACTTTGTAGGTATCCCAAGTTGCCAGCGTGGACCCCATGAAAATGTGGGGGAAAGCATTAAAGTGAATGGAAATGTGAATTGAACCAATGGGTTTGTTAGATGTCTTGGGGAAAACACCCATCTGCTTGAAAAGAATAACGAGGATTAGACCCAAATGCACAAAAGCAAAGCTCAGCTAGGGCTGCCAATGTCCATTATGTAGGTTCTTGAACCTTCCTCTGAAGCTTCTAGTACTGGCCACTGTCAGAGACTGGGTTCCAGACTAGAGATTTTCAATAGAAACCTTTTTTTGGTGAAAAATGTGCCACCAAAACAGTTTGTGAATTCATGTTTATTTTGCTTTATTGTTTCAGTCAAAACCCCCCAAACTCTAAAATAAAAATTAAAAAAAAAAAATTGTCCATACGTCAATAGTTCTGCAATGAAATGTTTAAACTTTCTGATTCAGAACTACGTTTTGTTTTGAAATTTCCTTTAATTTTTTTTATTAAAATGTTAAAAATTATCAGAAATGAAATGAAATTTCAAAGTTATGTTTCAGTCTGAACTAATTGTTTCATTTGACCCCAAACAACAAACAAACAAACTATGTTCAGCTCCTAGATCTGCCACCATCTTCTTTTGTGATCTTATATAAGTCACTTATTCTCCTTCTCTCTGCATTCATCTGTAAAAATGGAGACAATACTACTTCTGACATAGATAACAGAACCCACATGGCAGTTCTGAAGAGAACATACTGGGTAGTGCCAGATGTACTTTCTATCAGACATCAGTTTCCTCATACCTGAAATGACAGTTCCAAGAATGGTGACAGGAAGATGACACTGCCTGCCTGTTATTACACTGAGCCTGCCACTACTCAACATGCCAAGAAAATGAAAAATGCTAAGTGAGGTGATAGCAGAACAAGGGCTACAATCTTCCTACTGTTTTCACTTTGTAGTATATTTACTTGTCAAGAGCCCCACAGATGGTATAAAGGAACTGTGTTGAATTCGTCTTCCATAATAAACTGGGGATATGTAAGGAATACTATTCTAATTGCAAAAATCACTGCAGATGGCAAATGCCTAATGTCTGCAGAGGTGCGCTGAACTACTCTATGAATACCAAACACAATATTATCAGTGCTCCTGCAATGAATGCCTAATGACAGCTTACAGAAAATAAATATTCCTCTACCTACTAACATTTTGTGCTCATTAGCCAAAGACTTCCATCTGAGTTAGTTAAGGACACTGGCAAACATCTGAACTAATTCCTTAATGCCTTTCCTCCTGAAAATAGCAAAATGGAACATATGTTTCTAAATGTAGATTCTTGACATCTTGTGTGTTTTTTAGATAACTGGGAACAGTGTGGCTCTCAATGAAATTAGAAGATGTAGAATGCTATCACACTTGAATGGAACTAGACTTAACTAAAACGATGATGAATAAATATATCTCAAGCAGAAAAAGGCGTACACTCTCAATTGCTACCTAAATTGTTTTGAGTCCGGAAAAAATTATAATCTTCTCTTAAAAAAAGAGTTAACGTGAAAATAGGGGAAAGTAACATAAATGGAAATGGGTGTTTTGTTGCAATGGATGGCCAGCTTGATATTTCAGCAAATAATTGTTTGCAGAGAAATAAGTATCCACTGTTTGCTAGTGTGACAGATGTTTACATTACAAATTCCTGCAATATGTGTCTACCCTTCATTGCCCCCTACAGCCACCTGCTGCAGGAAGTAAAATAATCAACTATTAAGAATTCAGAGAAGGGTGCTCTCTGTGATGGTCTTAAGATTTCAGATTCAAGGGAAAATATATAAAGTGGCACCACTAAAAGTTGAGCATTTATCACCAGATATAGTTAAGTTTCACATAATAATTCCCATTCTAAGTATAGGCAATATTGTAAATATCATGGGAAAGGTAAATATTTCAGGGAAAACACACTTTAAAAATCATGTTCATTGTATAGGGACTGCACCTGTTTCCACTGATTTCATCTTGAGCAGAATGAATCCCACACGGTACTTCAGGAGGAGGAACAGTGATATCTGTGTTAAATCTGCATGGCACTTTCCATTCTAAAAACTCTTGAAGCACTCTAAAGACTCCATGTTTTATGTGGGACTTCAAAATCAGGCAGGGGGATAAACCTGGGGCAAGGGAGGTACTTTTTGCGAGTCTCATGTAAATCTATTCAGATTTTGCCAAGTCAAAAGCTGTCAACAATCACAATTTCCTCTCTCAAGTTTGCATAGCACAGCTTGCTTTTAGTACAGCACATACACCCCCTGGTGTCTTGCTTCAAAATTTCATACAGCACAGATTCCAGACAGAACATAGACAAAATGGAGGGAAAAAGGAGGGAAATGCTTATCTCCTCCCTGCTGAATTTCCCTCATTAGACTGTCTTTTGGCTTAGTGGAAATGCCCTGTGCTGGGAGGCAGGAGATTGTGAATTCTAGACTCCTATCTTCTATTTAGAATGAGGATTCATGCCCCACTGAGAGATTACATAAACTGGGACTAGACCCCACATCAACCCTCATGATTAGTCTGTCTTGCCTCTGAGAGTGGCCAGTACCAGCTGCTTTAGAAGAATATTCTGGAATCCTTCCATCAGCATTTCTAGGATAATCTACCCACAGGGAAATTTTCTTCTTCATTACTTACACTTTGGCTTATGCTCCGAAGCAAGAGGGTTTTATAACATTTGCAATTTTTTTTTGGTTAATCCTGAGTATTGTAATACTATAAGTTCTTGTTATCCATATACATGTCCATTCCTTTCTTGAACCCTGCTAAGCCTTTGGCTTCAATGGTATCTTATGCCAATGAATTCCACATATGCAAAAAAGCTTTTCCTTTTATTGGTTTTACATTTTCTCCCTTTCAGTTTAATTGAATCTATACTTGTTCTAGTATTATGAGAAAGTGAATAGAAGTTCCCTACTTAACTACTCTATACCATTCATTTGTATCATATCCCTTCCTACCTACTTCCTCCATAGAGTTAACAGTTCATCTTTTCATTCTCTTCTTATATGCAAGTTTTTCCATACCACTAAATCATTCTTGTCCCTCATCTTTGAACTGCTTCCATTTTTTTGGTGTCATTCACATACATAAGAGGTAAGTATTATAAGTACATCATATATAAGAGCTAGGTATTATTGTAATTAATATTATTATTAATAATAATTAAGTTTATTTACTTCATTAATTTTATATAACACATTCAAATGTTATGATAAGGAGAGCATATGACCTGGTTTTCTGAATTAGTCTGTGTACTTAAAGGTTAGAGGTTACAGTAAAGAAGAAAGCTTTTAACTCAACAATGAATATGCAGTGCTGAACAGACTTAGATGTACTGCTGATAATGTACTTGTTACCATCCATTTGAAACAAATTGTCAAACTTGCTCTGATGGCTCAGAAAACAACCTTGTGTATTCCCTTTCCAAAAGAATTCACACATGCAAAGTTTTGTGCATAAAAAAATGTAGCTAGAGAGTTTTGTGACTATTCCTTCAAATATGTGTTCACATAACTTTCTCTTGGAAGCTTTTGCACTACCATCTAGAAAACTAGGAGTCATCTAAGTTAGGAAGTAGAAATAATAGTATGTGACTAAAGTGACCAATCACACAGCACAAATAATGAATATGCAAACTAAAAGTCAGGGAAAGACGTTTGTGAACAATCTGTAGGCTGTCAGAGCAGTAAATTAGTGGCTACAGTAAGGAACTTTCCCTCTAGAGTAAAGGGGAACAAGAGAAAACTGTAACTCACTGAGTCACAATTTCTTCTCAGGGCTGCTCCTGCCCCTTTTATAAGGCTAGAAATTAGGTTTCAAACTAGCCCTGAATGTGTTAATCTGTTTTCAAGAAAGAGCACTCATGTTTCTTGGGGTCTGTGGATCTTGAAGCCCACTTTGAGGAATAATTATTAAACCAGTCATTGAATAATTCAGAGTAACGAAGAAATTCATAAAAATCCAAGTCTGTTTGCAGATAATTTACAAACAGAAAAAGGACTAAATAAGTTAAATAAATTATTTACTGCAAATTATTCACCCAGCTCCAGCCCTAAAGAGCAGTGAGCTGGGGAGAGACCTGATCTTTGTTACATAAGGTACACATACAGGCTGGCAACCCAAAGGCATCTTTCATTTTATATAAACAAAGCAGTAATCCAATAGCCAAAGAAGGTCACCAGTCTGCTGCCAGAGCCTATTTGTGCCTTGGCAGCAGTAACAAAGCACATCCAAACAAATGGAACATCATCGGGACATCATGTACCAGGGATGTTGCTATAATAGCATCCTACACTCACTGGCCCCAATTCTGAAGCCTGGTCGAGTTGCACTTGACTCAGAATTGTAGGGAGAAGGCAACTAAAGTGTTGTATACTTTATCTGTAGTTCCCTGATCTGATCCTAGGGCCATCTTGGGGGGCCAATTTGGTCCCCTACACATGGCTCAAAGTTACACTGGTTAACCATGGCTCCCAAGGAGCAGCACCCTGGCCTGAACTGTCAATAAGGTATGGGGCTAAGAGAACAGGCTACACCACTTGTAGTTTTCCTCATGCCAGGAGACCCCACAGTTAGCCTTTTAGGCCAGTTTTATGGTCCATTATCCTGTTGGAATGGCATTGAAGGCCTGGAGTGAGGTCCAGGACCTGGCTCACTCAGCATAGGTATAAATGACTCTAGGGTACAAGGCAGAGAAGAATCAGTTCCCAGGTGAGGCTTATTTTCCTACACTCTGCACTTTGTATGATGTATTTTTTAATTTTTCTAAATGTAACCAGACATCTCATTAATACCATTAATGTGAAGCTATTGGCCAGCACTTTTTAATCAAGGTCCTTGCTCTGAGAATAAATGATGGGCAAATAATAGGCCGTGTAACGATTGAGAAGCCAGAGATCCTGCAGGAGCTATGCGCCTGTTTAGGATTAACCTACATCATTCAGTTTGTTGAAATCCCAATTCCCCTAATGAAGGAATCAGTATGGATGCCAAGAAATACCTGGATTTCTTCCTCAGAGCTATTTTCACTGTTTTGCTGAGCCAGCATTAATTTCATTTCTTCAGGTTTTTGGGAAACAATCATCTCTATGGATTTCATACCCTAAAAACATGAAGGAAAAAAAAATCAGCAACATTGCTCATAACTATGGAAATTTCTTGATATAATTTCCAGTCAGTTCAGCTACTCCATCACCAGTTCACTACAATCAACAAACACTGACTGTGAGACTGTCATTCGCCCTTAGGCAGTTATGCTGGAATATGAAGACATGTGCCCCAGACTCTGCCCTAGTGCACAGCCTGCCTGGATCAGTTCTCTGAAAACAGAGGAAAGAGAAAGCTCCACAGGGTTTCTGATCTCCCCATGGCCTTGGATCTATTCTCCTCCCCTAAGATACTGGTCAGAAAAGCAGAAAATGAATGGCTGCAGTATGGAACTTTCTCTCTGGAGCAAGGGGAAACAAGAGAAAGAACTGTAACTCCCTGATTTATAATTCCTTCCCAGGGCTGTTCCTGCTCCTTCTATAAAGCTAGAAATTAGGTCTCAAACTGGCCCTTAATTTTTAAATCTGTTTTCAAGAAAGAGAACTCCTGTTGCTTGGTGCCTCTGTATCCTGAAGCCCACTTTGAGGAATAATTCAAATGAAGACTAGATTTCCCGGGGATCAAAATTACAGTAATAGAATAATAGAATATCAGGGTTGAAGGGACCTCAGGAGGCCATCTAGTCCAATTCCCTACTCAAAGCATGACAAATCCCCCACTAAACCATCCCAGCCAGGGCTTTGTCAAGCCTGACCTTAAAAACCTCTAAGGAAGGAGATTCCACCACCTCCTTAGGTAACCCATTCCAGTGCTTCACCACCCTCCTAGTGAAAAAGTTTTTCCTAATATCCAACCTAAACCTCCCCCACTGCAACTTGAGACCATTACTCCTTGTTCTATCATCTGGTACCACTGAGAACAGTCTAGATCCATCCTCTTTAGAACCCCCTTTCAGGTAGTTGAAAGCAGCTATCAAATCCCCCCTTATTCTTCTCTTCTGCAGATTAAATAATCCCAGTTCTCTCAGCCTCTCCTCATAAATCATGTGCTCCATCCCCCTAATCATTTTTGTTGCCTTCCGCTGGACTCTTTCCAATTTTTCCACATCCATCTTGTAGGGTGGAGCCTTAAACTGTACACAGTACTCCAGATGAGGCCTCACCAATGCTGAATAGAGGGGAATGATCACGTCCCTCGATCTGCTGGCAATGCTCCTACTTATACATCCCAAAATGCCATTGGCCTTCTTTGCAACAAGGGCACACTGCTGACTCATATCCAGCTTCTTATCCACTGTAACTCCTAGGTCCTTTTCTGCAGAACTGCTGCCTAGCCACTCGGTCCCTAGTTTGTAGCAGTGCATGGGATTCTTCTGTCCTTTGAGAGGAAATCATCAGCTAACCTCTGGAGTCACTTACCATTTCTAACACATCAACTCTTTGTCTCAGGGAGACAGTGTCCTCAACAGAAATGTCACTTCTGGGGTCTTTGGCTTCAGGAGTGGATGGTGATGGTTTCAATTCATCAACCTAATTGACAACAACATTTACCAGCCATTATTTCCCTGTTATGAAACATCAAAGCTGGCTAACGGCTCTGATGTCCCTCTCAATGAGGCAGTTGTGCTTTTCTCAACTTTAGAGATGGATTCATCAAAACACAAGTTGTTGCACAGTGCCAGCAGTAGACAGGGTCACAGATTCTGAGATTACATGGAGGCCTTCTCAGTGGAAACCAGAGATCATCATGGGCGTGTTTTCACAGTTTTGCAGAGTGTGTGAGAGCTCCTATTCTGATGTTCAGAGAGTTCTGTGTTAAACTCTCTTTGGGAGAGGGGATCTGTATGTGTGATGGTCCATTTTCCCATAGACTCACAGAATTTACATGGTCGAGTAGCTTCCATTAACGATAGGAATTTCATGAACAATGCCCTGTGTATCAATAAGAAAAACAGAACCCTTTTTGTTTACCCTCCCTGAAAGTAAATTTAATTCAGATGAATCCAGAGGATGCTCCTGATGCTCCTAGGAGTACACAGAACCCCAAAGATGGCAGAGAGGAGGCAGGGAAATGGATCTCCAACATCTGTGCACTGGCCTGTAGAGACAGACACCCACTCAAGGCTGCACCCAGTGAAGGGTATAGCAGGAGAGCATTGCCTTTACATACCTATCACTCTGAATGCCCACTAGTGCTTCCCTTAAGGCTTCTTGATGCTGCACCAAGATCGGCCTGGCCTATAGATATAATTAAACCCTTAATCTGCAAGCTTCTAAGAAACAATGAAAAGTAGAACCAACAGTAAGAATGAAAGAAGCAAAGTACTATACACTATCCCTTGAAAATATCTTCAAATTATGTTTTAATCACCGGTGCAACTACAGCAAGGCCTTATTCTCCTCCATTCATCAGAGGCAGCTGTATTGACTTTACTCATTTGACTTTGATTTACCCTGATTTATGTGAGACTGAAGATCTTTTTGAAGATTATTTTTACCAGCATAGTGATTCAAGCCCTTTACATTAATTAAATACATTCACACTTCCCACCCATCTATTATGTCTTCTGTGCAACCAACTATTCCCCAGTACAAATCTAGTATCGAAAACCATGAATTCATCTTTACCTTCTGGCTCAAGTCTTTTTGTTTGGATTCTCCTCTGCTGTTTGTTTCCATCTCCTTCTGCTCAGCTGAAATGTTGTTTAGAGGGGATATTTTATTTAAGAAAGGAAAATAATATGTTTCAAATAATTTTCATAAAATTGGATGCTGCATGAGCTAGAAATGTTTTCTCAAAGCCATACAAGATGGATATAAACATGTGGAATTATTTAAGCCTTTTAATCTTTATCTATAGCTAGAACGATATGAGATAAACCAGAGAGAACAGCTTAATATGTTCCAAGTGTTCACATCCAAAGAAGGGTGCTTTTACAATTTCATGTGCATATGTGTAACAGAGACTATATCCATTTTTCTTTCATTCATATGGAAATTTCTCCTTGAATAAACAGAACATCCAACACATCAGAAACTTTTTCCGACCAAAGTAATTTAATTCCCACAATAATTTAAAATAGCCTTTGCTACACATTACATTGAATGATGATCATCAATGATCCCGACAGGAAATAATTAGACACAGCAGAAGTCAAAGTCAGATAAACTGGAACTGAGGGTGTGAGAGGACCCTATAGAGTATGGCTGATTTAAAACAAAAAATCACAAAAAACTGCATAGGACACAAATAACTTATTGGACTGAGATGCATTGACAGAAACATGTAGAGAAAGTTGTGTAGGCCTTGTACAACATTATACCTAGCTCAGAACAGTGTTATTCAACCCTCACTTCACCAAGAAACAACAGCACAAATGCTGCATGGGATAACTTTTCTTCCAGTCAGATTTCAGCATTCCTCAGTGCTAGCATAGTTTCTATGTACTCCTGTGGGCTAACAAAGAGAGAAAGAAAGAGAGGGGGAGAAAAGACAAACACGTGGACAGACCCTAAAAGCAGCACATAAGTATGAGAGAGAATACTGCATGTTCCCCTATCACATGCTTGAAGGGGCTCCACTGGTTTAGGGAATGTTTATCAACATCTGAGTGGTCTGGCAGGAAACAAGTACTATTTATCTTTCTACCTACTTATTACTAATATACCAATCACTGTAGTATTTAAGACCCTGATTCAGTGAGGTACTTAAGCATATGTCTAAAGTTAGCATATTTCTAACTTTAATTTTTTAAACCCATTGACTTTCAAATCCCATTGAAATTTAAGTGCATACTTGAAGTTAAGTACATGCTTAAGTGTTTTTCCAAATTGGAGTCTAGGTGAATTTGTCCCTGTATGTTAATACATGACTAATGGGGTCAACTGTAAATATGCTTATCATCTGCAATGTTTTAAATATCAGGCAGAGGCAGCAAAAGATAGTTCATTTCAGTATTGGCAGAGACTTCCCCTGGAAAAAAATCTCTCTTTAAGGGCAGGTTTCAGAGTAACAGCCGTGTTAGTCTGTATTCGCAAAAAGAAAAGGAGTACTTGTGGCACCTTGGAGACTAACAAGTGAGCTGTAGCTCACGAAAGCTCATGCTCAAATAAATTGGTTAGTCTCTTTAAGGAGAGTACTTAGATTTAAATCTATCAGGTGTGATAAGTATGGATCGGATCCCAAACCACTGAACACTGACAGCATGGATAAAATTTGGATCCACATCCAAATGCTGTGTCTTGGGTCATTCTGTGTGTGTGTGTGTGTGTGCTATAAACCTCCTTAACATTGTCCCCAGGATACCACCTACTGTGTAAAACATATGTACTGCTAAAGCTCTAACACATTCTCTTCTATTAAGAGGAAGGCTGTACAGCTGTTTGTCCTTTGTTTTTAACACTTGTGTGCCAGAAATTGTGTAGTGTTCTGATGGCACCGTAAGGAAAGGATAGACAACACTTTCTTTAATGTGAATTTAACCTGTCAGATATTTCAATTCCATGCTGCACTGATACATGCTGGGGATGGGAGGAATATATAACACAGAAAATACATATGGAGAGTACAGTTCTTAGTTGCAAAATATTCTTGATATTTCATATTCGGCCCAAATTCACAAAGGAAGTTAAACATGTGCATAATATTAAGCACATGTGTGTTCCTATTGACATAAAGCAACCACTTGCTTTAAGTTAAGCAGGTACAAAACTACTTTCCTGAACCAGAAGCCTAGTTTGGAAAATGGAGAAAAAACATACAAATTTGCATTTTGAAAAAAGTTACTTTGTAAAGAGGACCAAACTCTCAAGTGTTTATTCTGTGGTTCTTCAAGATAAACCACCTCTGACTTCAAGGGGAATTTTGCTTATTTAAGTAGTAAGGGCAACAAGATTTGGTCTGACAAAATCACCTGGCAAAAGTATAAAGGAGAATGGGTACAATAAGATAAGAAACTGGAACAAACCCAATTATCTCACAAAAGCTCATTATTCTTTCCAAATTAAAGGAAAAATTCTCCCCCTTTTCAATGAAGTCATCTCATTTCAGTGAAGCTTTTCTTTTTCTTTTAAAAGAGTATTAAATACATGCTCAGCCTCTGCTAATTTGCTCCCATGAAGTGCACAGGAAGATTTTATGAAGTTTGAAAGACAAATGTATGAACTCATAGCCTCTGTGAACCACAGCAGGAACAGAGGTAATGGTGGATTTTCCTCATACCCTTTTATCCGCTCTGTAGGTGGCGGTTGCATTGATGGGAATTAATGCAGAGAGTTGCAAGGGATGTGAAACTAATAATTCAGAAAGGCAAAAAAAGGAAAGAAGAAATAATAGCACTGTCCCTTGCTCATGGCAATTTTGCAGACTGCTTCCTAAATTACATCCATTATGTGATTTACTTGGATCTCTCCTTTTATGTAGAGTCATCAGGATCAAAACAGTAATAAAGCTCTGTTGACAAGAGCCACAAAGCTGACATTGTTCTAAGAGTCCATCTTGAATTTCTGCTTGGTCATAGTCAGTGAACAATGAGAATCTTGGGAAGCAGGCTTTAGTAGAGAAGGACTGCTGGACCTGTTCACTGTGGCTACGTCTGAAAGCTGGTACTATTTTGAGTCTTGTGATGATGCAGAAGGATTATACAACCCCTGCCACACTTCACCCCACACTAACGTATTTCCAAATGGCTAACTTCACTGGCAGACTAAAATTATGCTGTAGCTGAAGAAAGCAGAATGAATATGTTTCCAGTGGGTGAACCTATAAACTACACATATTGCAGGCAAAGGGCGGGGTGGGGAAGGTGTCCCACAACGTTTACAGGTTTTCTGAAAACTCATAACAACTTCATGTAGATTGTTCAGAATTTGCAATTGACCAGTTTAAGTATTCAGTTGCTGCTCCCTAGGTCAGGCTCCCACAGGGTGGTTGGCCCTGTACGGTGATCAGATGGAGTTCAAGATGGAAAAGAGCATAGGAATTCTGTCCTCTGTTTTTCTTTTAACTAATCATTGTAGAAGAAAGATAATAGGCTTGATTATGCTCTTGCATTAATGTAAATTAGAAGTAACTCCATTCAAGTCAATGAGCCTGTTGTCAATAGCAGTTACTTGTATGTTGAGGGGGTAGAATCGGGTCCATTGGACTTATACTGCTATCAGTAAGAGCAGGATTAGGGCTATCATGTTTGACAAGTCCTGACACATAATGGTACATAGAGAAAACTGCATTGGGTGGAAGGTTCATCAGATCTCTCTATGAGCCATGAGCTGGTGGGCAGCCTCTCAATATGAAAACCCTCTAACTAGTAGGGCATATTAGTATATAAAAAGTGAAAGCTGGATCTCTCCCTGTCAGTTGACAAGTCTTCTAGTCAATACAACCTAACTCTCTTTATGACATAAGTGAAGCTTATAACATAAGGGAAGCTATCTATCAAAAAATTTAATTCTGAGAATTCAGAGAAAAAAGGGGTGATTGTGAACTCCAGGGTTCAGATTTTCTGTTGCTCTGTACCTGGACAGTTATTTACGCTCAATGCAAAGTAGGTATCAATTGTTGCCACTCTGATTTAGTAGGTTTCACACACATTAGGCTCATGCGGTACAAGACAATGGGTGATCTGGCTCCATTTGTATTAGTACAAGGCAGTTTTTCTTGTTTTAAAACCATTTAATAGGAATACAGAGTTCATTATTTATTTGTTGGCATGCAAGTGGTTGGAATTTTACACCAAAATGATACTATGAGCCAGTTGTCAGCGTAAATCAAAAGTAGCTCTAAAGAAGTCAATGCCGTTATATCAGAGTGAGACTTGAGTAAATAAGCTCAGGCCTAGTGAATTTAAGATATTATATGATATTACCAAGTAACTTGGCCTAGTCTGACATTACCAGGAATAAATTGATGAGCGTTCTGTCCCTGACAGTGATCTGAATGCAGGTAGATTCTTAGCACAGTGACTTCCTGAAAGGTTTTTGGATAGTTCCCAAGAGAACCCCCAGAGTGACCTTGCACAATCTGATTATCAATTAAAATGATCTCCTGACAGCCCTCGGCAATTACAGCACATTCGGTACAGGCAGGGGATCTAGGTTTATGCCTATGGGGCTCTATTATGAGTTGGCATATTAGAACAGGTTAAGCCTAACTTTTTATCTATGCCTTAATGCTGCACCACCATTTTTTTCTTTATGATACTGACTCCTTTGCTCACCGAACAGCCACTCAACTCTATAGGAGCTGATGGGGGGTGGGGTGGGGCGCCACCAGCTTCTTCCTGGACAATCATCAACAAGTATCCTGATCCTGATATTTCTCTTCACTTGGAGTCAACTGTTGGGCAGCACATGGTGTAATTAGCACACCACAGAGAAAACCGTATTTTTGATGATATTGTGTGCTGATAATTTCAGGGAATGTGCAGGCACAGATGCTGCACAAACAGGAAAGAGAGAAAGATTGCATGATAAAACTCTTCATTACATCTCCCAGTCACACACTGCATCTTCATGCTACATGGTTAATGCTTCTAGCATGCCCCGTAAGCCAACATTTTCAAGCGTAGGTACCTAAAGGTGAGCACTTAAATAAATATGTCCCATTTTCAAGTGTCCGGAGAGCTTATAATTCTCATTGACTTCATTGGAAGTATCTTGGAAAACCAAGTTGATTTAGGTACTTAAATATGAA